CTATTGCATTGAATCTTAAATGGAGGATCTTCTATCTTAATAGCAATACCACCAATAGACTTATATACCGCTTTACAGGGCTTTACAGCCCTCTCTAAGTGGTTTATAGAGTCAGCCTATTGCCCCCAGCAGTTTGGGTCCTCTTTACGCACGGTGGAAGGATGGAAGGCTGAGTCAACCTTGAGCCTGGTGAGATTTGAACTGCCAAAGTGCAGGCAGTCAGCAGAAGTAGCCTGCAGTACTGCACTCTTAACTACTGCGCCACGGTGGCTCATAAAACTATTTTTTTGCCAATCCCAACGATCCTCACTTATTTTGGGCTTGTGCCAGCCCCTGCCATCCATTGCCAGTGTTCAGAGCTAGTGGGGGCCCAAAACCTCTAGAGGAAATAGAGCATCAAAAATAAAAATTATTCCATGATATATCTACCTGAGAAAGATCCTTCTCTTTAGAAGCAAAAAAGTGTGTGTGTGTGTGAGAGAGAGAGAGAGGGGGGGAGGGGGAGGGGAAGGGAGGGAGGGAGGGAGAGGGAGAGAATATGAGAATGAAACACACTATTTCTAACCTTACATTCCTTGATACATGTTTTGCCTTATATCTATAAGGCTGGGTTTCTGTTTTTAAATGTTATGTGTGGTACTCTGGTTTCCTGTGTTTTATAAATAGTAATTAGAAGCTTCGGGTATGTGTGATAAATTTGTTGCAGCTATAATGGGAAATAAACAAGCCAAGACATAACAACAGGAATGCTCTTAAAATACACTGCTTTTTGGCAATGGCGTCCACATTTTACACTGAGACTTGTGTTGTGTATATATTTAATTTTATCCCATCCTTTGACCATCATGAGCCTCAGTGGCCCAGTGGTTAGAGCGCAGTGCTGCAGGCTACTTCTGCTGACTGCTGGCTGCCCAGAAGTTTGGTAGTTCAAATCTCACTGGCTCAAGGTTGACTCAGCCTTCCATCTTTCCAAGGTGGGTAAAATGAGGACCCAGATTGTTGGGGGCAAGAGGCTGACTCTGTAAATTGCTTAGAGAGGGCTGTGAAGCGGAATATAAGTCTAAGTGTTATTGCTATAGTGCTTCGGTTATCTCCATCCACCTACTTGGTTTTTCATTGGCCAAGCAAGAATAGGTCAACTTTGCCATCAAATACACTGGTGTAGCCTTTGTTCTTCTGTTCCATCATTGTTCCTTTTCAACTGATGTACCTAGTTATTCTCAGGCTGTAAGTATAACACAAAACACTTACATGTTCTCATCTCCAGATCAAGAAATACTTAATAGGCATACAAGGAATGGCAGTGTTACTCAATGACTGAAACTGTATTGGATTTTGAGCACTCAAATGAAATTTTACTAGAGCCTCTTTTCATTGACATATTGCTGTATAATACTGGGAGCCCCGGAATAAAAATTCCCATTTCACTAGGTCCGAGACTCAACTTGGATAGTTGCTGATCATGATTTTTTTTTTCATAAATATTTTACAACTTTTTTTAAAGGGTTCCTAAGACGTATTGACACTTCTTTTCTTTCTTTCTTCAACATGAGATTATGTTTTCGTTGTGGTTTCACGAAATGAATTCTGGTTCATTTTCTTTTTTTCTTTTTGTATCCATAAGGATTTTCCTTGCCAGCCTGCAGAAGACATTAATTATCTGATTGAAGGCTCACATTTTTTTCTTGATTTAAGAAAGCTCCCTCTGACAGAATTTGGTAATATCAGGATTCGTTTCCATTTCCGTGTTCCTTCTGAGGGAATGTTACAGACAAGACCTCTAAGGACATCAGTAAATTTATGAGATGTGTTGTGGGCCTCCCCTGTTTCTAGGACTCAAAAGAGCTCATTCACTTGATGCTTAAAATCAAACTGAAGATATATGAAGGGGTTTCTGTATTTATTAACAAATCAATAAAATATCTCTCTCTGGGCTACACTGGCTTTATAATTATTCTGTGTAGAGGACTTGTGAAGGTAAGTGCATGCATTCCTCATCTCACAATGAAGGATTTGGTTTGCATTTTTATGTAATTAATATTTTCAATCCATTATGCAAAGTGGAATGAAGTTATGCTTTGATACTTGCATTTTCCTGGATAATGAGAACACAGTTTGAAATACATTCAAAAATATGAATACTGGGTTGTGTAAAAAATGCACATGTTTAGTGGTACAATGTTCACCTACATTATATATTTGAGAAAATTGCATGAAAAAAAATGCACATGTCAGAATGTTATCCAAGAGTATACTGTTTAGAAAAGTGCAGTCTTTTTTAAAAACCAGTTCTCCAAATATAGCAAACACAGCAAATAAACCTAAGTGAAATGAGAAACTGGTTAAAAACTAAACTCATGTTCAACTAGCTCTTTTATGTTTGAGGATTAATGCAATTAAAGAATTTTTTTTTTAAAAAAATCTCCTGATGTAGCCAGAATAAGAAAACAGAAATTGTTTTTGTTGCAAAAGAATCATGTCAATAAACTTTGTTTTGGAGTGCTTGCACTTATAATTAGACAGCATGACACACGAGTCTTATTAATAACATCCAGTAATGACAAGCATGTTTGAGCTGTTCCCATTGTTCTCTTTCATGCCATCTGTTCCTACACCCACAGTAGCGAAGACTTTTTAATGTGAAAATTGAAAAAAAAAAGATAATTTACTGGCTGTTCATGCTGTTGCTTATGGCCTTGAATATGACTTCTTTCCTAATTTCCACTTTGGTTAATTTTTACAGCCTTTTAAATAGCAAATGCCATTCTTGTAGGTAGTGCTAGGTACCACCCAATTATTACTAGTATTTCAGCCTTGATACTTCAGTGTCAATGCAGGAGAATAATTGTTTGAAAGAGAAATGTACATGCCAGGACACTGTTTACAAAAGGAAGCCCTAGGCTTTGAGAATAATAAGTTCAGGTCTTAGGAAATTCAACTTTAATTACCTGACTGCTTGTTTTGCAAATGAAATATAAGGATAGCTGAAAAATTCAGCTGTTGCATTCTCACTTGGCATTATCCTAAAATGTAATGTTTCTGTGGCTTGTTCCATTTCATTGTAGATCATTGCCTGCAGAGCAAATATTTTCAGTTCATCTCAGATATGAAGGATATGGCTACAAGACTGAAGGAGTCTTATTTGTGTCTTCGGTCTAAGACTCTTGAAGATATGTTTTTTCCTACTATTAGAAAGTCAGCCCAAATGAGGAGGAACAGGCAAATGCTAAAAAGTGAACTCTTGCAATTGCAAATATATATGTCCTTAAATTCATCACAGTGCCTTGGTTTTTCTCAGCATGACTTTCCCCATTGGGTTGAATGATAGCCATATGGAGCAGGGTCTATGGTTTGAGATACATAAATAAGTCACAGTAGCATCAACTCAAGAGAGATCCATCATCTTCTTTTCGTAATAATGATAGCAATAGCAATAGCACTTAGACTTATACACCATTTTCACAGTGCTTTACAACCCTCTCTTAAGTGGTTTAAAGTGTCAGCATATTGTCCCCAACAATCTGGGTCCTCATTTTACTGACCTCAGAAGGGTGGAAGGCTGAGTCAACCCTGAGCCAGTGAGATTTGAACTGCCAAACTTCTGGCAGCTGGTAGTCAGCAAAAATAGCCTGCTACTTCATCTAACCACTGCACCGCCATGGCTACATCTAAGTTTCATACTGTCTCTAGTGACATTATAAAAAGACAAGAATGTAGAGGTATCTAAAGGAGAGGTAAACAGATAGAAGAAGAGGGCTGATTCCACTCAATTATATTGAGTGGAAAAAACATACTTCTCATGCCTCGGTCAAAATCTGATTCTGAGGGGGAGGCCAAGCAACTGACAGGGAGAGGGAGTGTGGCTCCATTGGCTGTGGAAGAAACTGGGGAAGGGCACAGTCTGGCTGTGCAGACCAGGGAAGAGGTAGAGCAAGGGAGATGAAACTCGGAGGAAGATCCAGGCCCAGTCCCTCTTCATCCTAGGGCACGCAGGGAGGAACGGAGAAGGGACCAATGTGAGTTGTGTGGCTTATGGGGAAGGAAAGGGCCCTGATTCCCTTCATTAGCTGCAGCTGGGAATACAGTGTTTAAAAAGGGAAGCTGCGCACAGCAAGTTGTTGGGAGCAAATTGTGAATTATCTGGTATTGTGGAGACTTACCTGTGTTCCTGGCGTCTTCCCAACTGTGTGTGTTTTGCTGTGCGTTAAAGTCTGCAATTTCTTCTCCTGTTAAGTTAATTGCTGCAGCGTGATATGTTTGAATTTTTAGTTACAGTTTGCATGTGCTTTGTTTTCGGACTGAATTTCCTCCACTTAAAGGCTGTTCCTGGGAGAGTATTTCTCCAGCCGAAGGTAACCTGGACATTGGGGGAAAAGTTGGAGATAATAAAAGGACTCTTCTTGCTTATTTGACTGTGTTGCCTTTGTGCCATGCCCCGGGTCATCACAATACTGTAAACAGAAACATAATGAAGAAGAAGGGGAAACACTTCCCTTTGTTCAGAGAGGAATTACTAGAACAGATTTACCCTAATTTGTGCCTCTTGTATCCCTTTAAATTAGCTAATACACTTTTTTTAAAATTGAATTGGAGCATCATTGTGTGTCTGTTGGTAACGGGATGGCCTTCCTTGGCTGAAAACATGTAGAATTTGGCATCTTTATTGAACCTCCATATCCAGCAGCTCCAGGCAGCCTGCGCAATGATAAGGGACGCTGGGAGTTGTAGTTCATCAGTCTTTGGAAAGCCAGAGATTCCCTATCATTTATAACAATGCCTTTAGGGAAAAAACCAGTCTTCTCTCCTTGTAGAAAGATACTTTTCAGCTTCCTAGTTCCTCCGATCAGAACATGCCGTGTCTGTCATAAAATATAACCTGTAATCTAAGTTCAAATGTGACCTGTCTTATATTTTTTTTTAAATGTTTTTCCATTGTCTTTAGTGAGGGAACTGATATGGATGAAAAATGTGTTTCAAATTCACACTTTCATGCATTTCAGGAATAGGTGGCTTGCAGGAATTTGTTTTGAAATCAGCAACCTTGTCCTCCTCTCCGGCTTGTCCACCATTTAATCCACTCAACTTTGAAGCTACGCCGATTGTACGAGTGGCTGTGGAGCCGAAGCACCCAAGTAAGAATAATCTGTGTATTATTAAAGAGTGTACACATAGTCCTTGAGCTACGATCATAATTGAGCCTAAAATTTATGCCGCTAAGTGAAATATTCATTAAGTGAGTTTTGTCCCATTTTATGACCTTCTTGCCACAGTTGTTAAGTGAATCATTGCATTTTTTTTAATGTTAGGAACACGGTTGTTCAGTGGATCTGGCTTCCCCACTGACTTTGCTTGTCAGAAGGTCACAAAAGGGATCACATGATCCAGGATATTGCAACGGTCATAAATATGAACCAGTTGCCAAGCTTCCAAATTTTGATCGCGTGATCATGGGGGATGCTGCAATGGTTGTAAGTGTGAAACACGATCATACGTCACCTTTTTCAGTGCTGTTGTAACTTTGAACAGTCACTACACGAACTGTTGTAAGTTGAGGGCTACCTATATTTGATTTAAGTCAAGTCGATTTAAATCATGATTTAAATCACTAGTAAAAAGGCTTGATTGAAATCAACTCTATTTAAATCAGGGGTCGCCAACCTTTTGGATCTCAGGGACCACCAAACTCATAATTTTAAATCCCGCCGCAGACCACTAATATGAATTTGGACTGGTGGTGGCTTGCTGATGTCCCATATTCCAGAGCTGGAGTAGTCACAGGAGTGGCCCTCTGGTCATCCCGGAGCAGCTGCTCCTCCACCTGGGTGCACCAGCCTGCCACGGACTGGAGGAGCTGCTCCAGGATGACCAAAAGGCCACTCCTGTGACTATTGTAGCTCTGGGATCTGGGACCGACTTTCCCACCAACGTCAGAAAGCCACCCCCGGGTCAGATTTCCCTCCCCTGCCATTAGTCTTACCTTCCAGTTCCAGCTTGCGTGGCTCTACTCAAGGTAAGGTTTATGCTCGGCCGAAGGGTGGGGGCCAGTGGGTGGGCGAGCCATGTGGGCGGCGCAGCCTTGTGTTCCCGCACAGCCTGGATCAATTGCTTTGGGAGGAGGGCTTTGGAGGGGACATTTCTCTGCGGACCACCCAAATTTTCACGCGGACCACCAGTGGTCCCCGGCCCACTGGTTGGCGACCACTTATTTAAATCATCATTTTTAAAGCACAACTGTCATCTCTGCTGTGACATTGTGTGAATGCATCAATGCAGTGCATGTTATCTCAGCTTGCAGAGTTTGGATTCATTGAATGAATGTCCAAAAATATAAATATTCCAGAATACGCAGCCTCGTGCTATGTCACTAAGCTCCGTTTCGTGCTGAATTAACTAAATTATGAATGCAGCTTAAATAGAAAACTATCTTTAGGTAGGTTTTTACTCCAAAAGCATTTTATTAAAATAAATTGATAAAAATAAAAAAAAAACCTGATTTAAATCAAAAAAGTAATCCAATTTTTTTTAAAAAATCATCGATTTTTATCCACCCTGATTGGAAGCTAGCGCACCTCTAAAAAAAAGTCAGAAGGGTGGGAAAAAATTGTGGTTCAGCAATAGTACTGGGGTAAGTAAGCAGAAGGATCACCTTGAGATCTAGTGGATTCATTCTAAAGGATGACCATGGATTTGATGTGACTCTGAGCTTGGAATGAAAGGCTTCTCGTTCCTGTCCTGCAGCTCTTTTGCTGCACTGCACGATTCTTCGAAGCAAGGCGTTTCTAGCATGCTTTTGGCTTTCCAGGTGAGATGCCTCAGTTGGTTAAAGGAATGAAGCTCTTAAACCAGGCTGATCCCTGCGTGCAGATTTTGATCCAAGAGACGGGAGAGCATGTCTTAATTACTGCAGGAGAAGTCCATCTTCAACGCTGTTTGGATGACTTGAAAGAAAGGTGGGTTGTGGGAAGAATGAAATCAAACGAAGGGACCATGGTAATAATGGCTTTGATGCAGCATTATTAAGGAAGTTAGATGCACAAGAATAGCTTTATGCCAGGGTAAAAACAGAAACCCAGGTTATTCAGTGTCCCCATCAAATCAGAGACAAGTGCTACTATGACATACACTCAGTTTTTGTTTAGCGGCCAGTTAGCAACCATTCACAAATACAACTGCAATTTTTTAAAACAATCATTTTCTGACCATAGATTTACGATCCAATTTTGTGCACCTGATAACGTTCACTAGAGTGAGAGTAACACTGGCTTAGCTGTACAAGAGAATTTTGTCTGAATGAGATGGCACCAAACAGCCATCTTTGCAGAGTCTCCCTCCCTCCTTCCCTCTTTCTTTCTTTCTTTCTTTCTTTCTTTCTTTCTTTCTTTCTTTCTTTCTTTCTTTCTTTCTTTCTTTCTTTCTTCCTTCCTTCCTTCCTTCCTTCCTTCCTTCCTTCCTTCCTTCCTTCCTTCCTTCCTTCTTTCCTTCCCCTCCCTCCCTCTCTTCCCCACTCCCTCCCTCCCTCTCCCTCCCTCTCTCTCTCTCTCTCTCTCTCACACACACACACACACACACACACACACACAGACATTTCCTTAACCTGGTCATTTGAACATGGTCACTAAGAGAGGATTGGGTCTAGTTGGAGAATCTGGAAAAGAATCTGTCCTCACACCAGTTCATTTGCCTAGTTCTCACTGCAATTAGCTGGTAATGGTTAGGATGATGACAAATAGATTGCCTTCTGACAATAAACAACATCAGGAGTGCTGCAGATTCAAAATTCAAAATAACCTTCCTGTATCCAGTGAGACCAGAAAGCCAAGCTAGAAGTAATTACTAGCCTCAGTGTGCAATAAAATGTCTTTTCTTTGTGCCCAATTTTGTAAAATCAACCATTTTCTTAGAGGTTAGTGCTCTCTTGATGGCACAGTGGGTGTTTTGATAAGAAAGTGGGAAAGAAATATTTTTAATACGATCGCCCAGACACTCGATGTTGGGCTCAAGTGGTAATGAGTGTTAACTTACCAGTGGACTTAAAACCATTGTCAGACCTGACTCGAGCTTTTTTGGGGCTTTCCGCAGGTTTGCCAGGATAGAAATCAGCGTCTCAAAGCCCATCATCCCCTTCCGAGAAACCATCACAAGACCCCCCAAAGTGGACATGGTGAACGAAGAAATCGGGAAGCAGCAGAAAGTGGCCGTCATACACCAGAGCAAGGAGGAGCAGAATAAAATCCCCGAAGGGGTCCAGGTGGATTCAGAGGGACTCATAACAATATCCACGCCAAACAAATACGCCACCCTCAGCGTACGAGCGACGCCGTTGCCGGAGGAAGTAACCCAACTGCTGGAGGAGAACAGCGAATTGATTCGGACCATAGAGCTGTTTGCCTCTTCTCTCAACGAAGACAGGAAAACCGAGGAGATGAACCAGACGATGCTGGGCCGGATACAGGAGTTCAAGGAGAAACTAGAACAAAAGCTGCAGGGCTGGAAATGGAGAAATGCCGTGGATGCCGTCTGGTCCTTTGGCCCTCGAAAATGCGGACCCAACATCTTACTGAACAGATGTGAGGGCTACCAAAGGTCTGTTTGGCAGTGCCTCGAAGGCGTCAAGCCAACCAAAGAAGCGGCTCTGCACCGGGATTTTGACAACAGCATCATCAGTGGGTTCCAGTTGGCTACGCTCTCGGGACCGATGTGTGAAGAACCACTGATGGGCGTCTGCTTTTCGGTGGAGAAATGGGACATGAGCAGATTCGCAGAGCAGGTGGTGCTCAAGAGGCAAGATTCAGAGGAAGGGAAGGCTGCGGAAGAGACCGGCGGCAGAGAGGAACCTGCCTCTCCACCAAGGAGGGGGACTCAACCCGTGTCTGAAAACGAACTGCAAGAGGACGAGAGGTGCAGCCTGAAATCGCTGTACAAGCGCAAAGGGGAGGCATCGAATGCAGACTGCTACGGCCCTTTCTCAGGCCAGCTGATTGCCACCATGAAGGAAGCGTGCCGCTACGCCATGCAGGCCAAGCCCCAGAGGCTTATGGCTGCCATGTACACCTGTGAAATTATGGCAACCGCGGAGGTCCTAGGTAACAAAGACCCCAAAATGCAACCGATATAAAGAGAGCACGGATAGTCCTTGACTTACGACTACAATTGAGCGCAAAATGTCTGTTGTTAACACTTTTAAGTGAGCTTTGCTCCCATTTTACAACCGTTCTTGCCCCAATTATTAAGTGAACCGCCGCCGTTGTTAAGTTAGTAACACGGTTGTTAAGTGAATCTGGCTTCCCCATTGATTTTGTTTATCAGAAGGTTGCAAAAGGGGATCAGATGACCCTAGGATACTGCAATGGTCGTAAATATGAGCCAGTTGCCAAGTGTCTGAATTTTAATAATTATAAGTGTGAAAAATGGTCATGTCGCTTTTCCAGTGCTTTTGCAACTTTGAACACTCACTAAACAAACGGTCGTAAGTCGAGGACTACCTGTAGTTGCTAAGGGATGACATCTGGAGGAGGAGGGTGTGGTTAGAGAGCAGAAGTCAAGCAATTTGTGTTTGCTTAGTACAGAGATCTCCATAGCTGGCTGGAGAATTCTGGGAGTTGAAGTCCACAAGTCTTAAAGTTGCCAAGTTTGGGGACCCCTGGCTTAGTACAATGTTTTTCAAACGTAGCAACTTTAAGATGTGTGGGCTTCAATTCCCAACATCCTCGTTTTGCAATAGCCAACATTTCCTGGGCAGATTATTTACCTATTTAAAGTATTAGAACCAAAAAATAATAAGTGACAGTACGTAGCTCAACATTCCCCAACCTAGTTCCCTTTCAAATATTTTGGGCCGTTGTGCCTAGAATTCCCAGGAATTGACTGATTAGCAAGTTCAATAGATCTGGATGGTGGCGAACTGATTTAATCAATTCTATTTGATACAGCCGCCCACTCCAAAAACCAAAATCAATTGGCGAAGGATGATTTATAATGTTTGTTATGTGAGTTATTTTTAGTTAAGTTCCCTTGTGCAATTGCTAAAATTGCGCTGTGAACAGCATTTGCTCCAACCCTGAGCATCTCCCCTCCCCAAAACCTTTTTCTGCATTCCGGATGACAGCTTGCCACAAATACTGTTTCTTGATACTTTGTCTGCTTCTTTGCTGTATATATTATTAGGCTTCCTAATTCAGTAGCGGTCTTTGCTGCTCTCCAAGCTTGCTTATTTTCTTGCAGACATTTCATTACCAAACTAGATAATATCATCAATGCTCTGATGATGTTACAGTGGAATTTTGGATCGCGAATGCTTCTGACCAAATTGGGTGACCCCAAATTGGGGTCAAAAATTTCGGAAAATGTTTGCTTCTGGTTGCGAACATATATTCAGGTGGCAGCCAAACACTCCCATCGCGATTTTCCTTGCTATTCTGACCAAGGCTTCCTGAGACCGTAATTAAGCACACGCTTACTCCAAACAACTGTTGTTTTATTTCAGTGCTGGGAATTATGTTCATTCCCAGCCCACAATGAGTCCCAAATAGTCCCTTGAGATAAGCACCCACCTTTCTCTCTGAATTGCTGCCAACAACTAAAGTGCCAAATTAACTGTAGAAAACCAATGAAAGTACAAAGTCCACACAGAGCTTCAAGGATTAATCTGAACAGAGTGAGCGACTTTGCTTCCTGCAAAGGTTTCTCTACCTTTGCCTGTCCTTTATACCTTATGGGAGGGGCAATCACCTCCAAGCCTTACTCCCGAGTCGCCCCTTTTATCTCAGCTGCTCTTGCCTTCTAGCAGCTCTGTGCACACGCACACTGGGAACAGGCTCCCCTTGTTCCTCTGCCTCGTTGCTGCCAGACTCCAGAGGCAGTACCCCACTCCCAGATGGTCCTGGCCCCATGTCTGCATCGGGTGCAGAACCCTTGTCCGAGTCCTCTCCAGACTCCTGGACTGGTCTCCATTCTTTCCCACTGTCCAATTCCACTGCTGTCTGCACAGGCTGCTGGCAAACCACAACACCTTCCGCAGCAATTTCCCCTTCTGTGCCATTTTTTTTGCTCATGCATGCGCAGTCAGTCGTGCCTCCGGTCACGACCAAATCGGGTTGCAACCAAAGTCCTGGAACGGATTACAGTCGCGACCTGAGGTTCCACTGTACTTAGTTTGGGTTATGAAATGCCTGCAACAAAGAAACCAAGTTCAGAGAGCACCAATACTCACCTTTATTGGTAACTATATCTCTGAATGGTCAAATTAGTTGGTGGGAAGGCCAATGAAATACTATCACCCATGTCTTGGCAGGTCGTGTCTATGCCGTCCTATCCAAGCGAGTCGGCCGAGTATTGCAAGAGGAGATGAAGGAAGGGACGGACATCTTTATCATCAAGGCATTATTGCCAGTAGCAGAGAGTTTTGGTTTTGCTGATGAAATCAGGAAGAGAACAAGCGGCCTGGCCAGTCCACAACTGATCTTCAGTCACTGGGAGGTATGATTTCTTTTTCAACCCCTTTATCAGTCGATGCAAGATTTCCTATGGTTGCATAATAAGGGGGAGGGGGGGGGAAGTCCGTGAAGGATGGTCAGGATTTAAAAATTTGCTATTAGATGTTATAGAGTTTTGTTGTCGGATCTGCCACAGCTTAAACCTCTAAGTAGAAATGATCCTTGGCTCCATTGATTGAGAAAGGTGTAGTTTTACTAGTGTATTGCAGTAATGCAAAGCCAGAACTGAGAATCATGTGCCAAAATTCCTAAGTTCTACTTTTCCCTCCCCTCACTGTCTTTCATCACCCACCTTGTGTAACCAATCAAGTTTAGGCACGATGTTGTAGTAACAGCCAGTCCAAGCATGCTTTGGTATGCAGCTCTCCTTCTAGCTGGGTGACCTTGAGGCAGCATCTTGATGAGATGCCGCATTTACTTTCGTTTCCCCAAGCATTCTCCCCGCTTTGTTTCCTCTCCCCACCGTTCATGGCACCGCATAGCACACACAGGCCTAAGGTGGGAGCTGACATCGGCCCTATCACATCAGTGAGTTTTGCCTGGTGGAGATCATGAGGCGGGTTATGAGCCTTGTATTAAAGATCAGGCTGTCAGCAGTGACCAGCAACAAGGGTGTCAGGGCTCCAACAAATACCCCCATTTAAATCATAAATCTGTAGCCAAACTTCCAAAACTTAAAAAGAAGATTTATTAGGAGTAAACATAGCGGCACTGCCTGGGTGTAGCCGACTCTGAGACAAACTCTAAAAAAGACCATAGAAATATTTTATGAGTTAACAAAGGGGAAAACATTGCCAAGTTCTCCTGATTATTTCTTTCCACTAAGTGTAGAAATAAGGCTTCCATTGAGAAAGATTTGTTTCCATTTTCCTCCAGAAATCCATTCCTTTCTTTCTATAGTTACCAAATGAAAAGAAAGCAGAATCGAAATATTTCCCTTATTTATCTGCTGGCAATAAAATGTAATTGTTTGATGAAATTGATTGTCAATAGATTTACAACAGAGAAAGGGAATCCTTTGTTATACCAATCAGAATTGGCTTGATGAACTTACAGCCACAAAGTGTGCTGAGGATGGATTAGAATAGATCAATTTTAAAAGATAACTGTACAATGTAGTCAAAGATATTGTGGTAGCTAAAGACGTCGTATGAAAAAGAGTTGCATTTAGCCAAAATCAGGAATCTGGTAGCATCTTTTCTGATTTAACACGTTTCATTAAAAGCTATAAACTGTCATGACTTGCTTCATCAAATGCTTCATCAAATGCTTGGAATGGCTAAACTGATGTAGGATTTAAGTTAGAATGAGATGGAGGAAGGGAATGGAAAACAGGTTGATTATGGAGATACAGTTTACCTGTGGCACAGCATGTAAGTACCTTATCAATGAACAGTTGTAAAGAGGTTAAAAACACATTGCATTTGATAATCTGTGATGTATAAATATAATTTGTTCTGTTAGTGGACTTCCCGGAGCCTTTATCAAGATCCCTATTGATGGAACTCTGAGCATAGCTGGTATTTAGTCAATGAATTAACTAGCCAGCAATGCTTGGCAAAGCTATTCTGTTTTAAATGATTGGTTTTTTTAGAAAGCTGACTATTTCTAAATGCTAAAATAGACACAGTAAATTCTAAAGCCTCTTTGTGGGATGATCAGAGCAATAAAATAAATGGATCCTGTATAATTCCCCTAGTTTTCTATCTCTTAATCATTCTTAAACTGTATTTTTCTCAAACCATGTAATTTACAATCAAGAGGTTTTTGAGTAGAAGACAGAGAAGGATCAGAGAAGAATAGAATAACACCCATTTTCTAAGATGGAATTCATTTGCAATCTATTCTCTCTCTCTCTCTCTCTCTTTCTCTCTCTCTCTCTCTCTCCCCCTCCCCCTCCCTCTCCCCCTCCCCCTCCCTCTCTCCCTCTTTTTTCTTTTTGAGCCCTGTGTGGAAAAAAATACAGGCATGGGTGCAAAATAATTCTTCTCCGGTAGGTCTGCTTGTAGCAATGCCTGTATTAACAAAGACAACAAAGAACGTCTTCCTAAGTGCCTTGTGTAAGACGGGGCTTCTATTTGTGGATGTCACACTTCCTCTGGCATTAGAATTGACCCTCTAACTTAAATCCCCCCTCCCCTTTCTTCCATTTCTATTTGCTTGACTGGCACTAAGGAAAACAATAGCAGGCAGGGTTTATTAAAAATAGGACAGCTGCTTTTGCCATCATCCTCGAGGGATCTGAATACTCTCCCGATCTTCTTTTTCTTAAGCACCATTTGGAATTCTGCAGAGTTGACATTTCCAGTGAATATCATTCAGTTGGAAGGGATGGGAATTTCTCATACCCCACCAGGAAGCTGGCTAGTTTGCTTGCTTTCTCTCCCTCTCTCTCCCTCTCCCTCCCTCCCTCTTTCTTTCTTTCTTTCTTTCTTTCTTTCTTTCTTTCTTTCT